AAAGGCAAGAAATCCGTTTGAGAGGCTGTTACCCTCAAGACTACTATAATAAAAAGGAGAATAAGCAACCGTCCAGTGCCACACCTGACTGGAAGAATATGCAATTAGATCTTACTTTTGAAGTTATTTAACTGCTACAGCCACTAGACACAGAAACGGGGCTTTCCAGTCATCCAATTTACAACTAGGGCTCCTAGGAAGTCATCTATTACCTTGTGTAGTACACCAGAAAAAGTTACTCACGCTAACACTCCATTTAATTCAATCATCTAGTAGTGAAGGAGAACCAGAATTGCCTCATGGCTGAATTTAAGAGTCTTTTGAACTACGGCAGTTAAACAGAATTTGTTCACTGAACAGCCTCCTGCTACTGGGGAACATTTAAGCCCTGTAGTCTGAAGTAAAAACTGCTTTTAAAAATGTATCTAGGACAGTGTTCTTCTGCACTTTCTTATACATAAAGTGATTACCAATGTAAGATTTTTTTTTTTTTGCCTGGTAGACATCAATTTCAGGTAAAGCATTTGCTGATGGAATCAGCCTCCCAGATAAACGTATTAACTGCCTACAGGATCAAGCTTTAGGTTTTGGTGTGGGTGGCAGACAGAAGGCCTGTTTTGCAAGGCATGCTATTTTTGTAGCTACAGCCACACCAAACTGAACRCACTCAAATCTCACAAGCTAAGCTGTCCCAGACCCAATCACACTGTTTGCACAGGGACCACCTGGGAATCCCAAGTGCTGGAGATGAAGCCAGAGAATCAGTCCAACACTTAGTAATCAAGACCACAAGCCATACAGCATTTTCACTGAACAGGAGTAAAAGAAYAAAAATACATCCTCCCATACAAACATTGTTAGAGGAAACTTGTTTTATACACTTAAAGATTGTACTTATGTACAGTCTCTTTGTTTCAGAGATATTTAGTCCCCAGTTTCTCCTATAGTCCCACAATGATTTCATGCAGTAAAAAAAATGGCAGGTTTGGTCAGACGCATTTCATTCCCCAAACGCAGCATCAGAACTTTAGGATAGAGAAAACAAGGCAAACAACAGTCTTTTCCAAGGCACACAAATTAGTCAATACTTGTGTAAGTACTAGAAACATAAAAATTCTTCTTCTAGGTCCTGAAAAAACAATGCTAAAGAACAGTCAAAGATAGTAAGTCTGGTACCAAAAACCCTTTTGCAAATCAATTTCATGGAGAGCATTTACATTGTCAGAGTTAACCAGAAATAAATTACTAAACATTTCATYAATATCACTGTATTCAATAGCAACAGTAAATGAAGGGGGTGGCATARCCAGATAACAAAGGTTGTACCAACAGATCTGAGTCCATCACCCACATAAACAGACTGAGCAGGACAGGATCAGCCCTTACCTCACAACCATGACTGTCTTACAACTATCCTGAAATTCAAATGATCCTGAGTGAAAGGCCAGAGAATGCACCATTTCCCRTGCACCTTTCAATTATGCTTTGCCTGTAACTAGTTTCACTGTTTCCACAGTGAAGGTATYCTCTGTACATCAGGCTTTCACGTGACAGAGAGGACAAAATGCCATTTCTAAAAAGCAGAATGCAATTAAAACCACAGGGGATGGGGAACACAGGAGAAAGTGCTGCMACTAAAAATACTTTCAGCTTTACCTAGTCAATTCTAAAACTGTTCATTGTTTGTTGTTGGTTTCTGTTGAGCTCTGCTGTTTATATGATTGCAATACACATATCCCCAGTAAGCACTGGAACTGCAAATGTAAAACATTGCCTATGTAAGAGCCTATTACTCTCAGCAAATTTTAGACAGTTGGAAACACTCTGCCAGCTGCAGAAGCCAACTTGTGGCACTCCAGAGAACATTCCTGAAACACAGATGGGGGGAAACTGAGGTGATTTTATAAGAGATCYTGAAATTAAAGGCAATCAAATAAGTCCCTGTCTTTGTAAACATGAAGAGAAATGCAGAYTTCTCTACAATGGGTAGAGGTGTTAAATTTTCCATGATCAYTAGAAAGAAAATATTGATACTCCTAAGTAATTTTACAGGGTCATACATTAATAAGGGAAAGCTTAAGAGGTATGCAAGAGGACCATCCATTTATTCAAAAGTACTCTTGATATACACAAAGGAATGGGAGTAGAAAATATATTAAATGGTACATACAAGTGGCCATCATTTACAGCTGGAAAATTATTTGAAATAATTCTTACCCTGCCTAACCGAGGCATGTATTTCAGGGGCCAYAGCTATTAATGAGTACCAGCACTTCAGAGTCCCCAGTGCTCAACTCCAATCCAAGCACAGTTGCTTTCATATCCCCAGTCYCCACGCTCTCAACACCTCTGAAGCCATGTTGATAAGACTGCAGGGATTCAGCTGGACCAAAATGACTACMAGGATGACTCTCTGCATCCTGTTTCTGAGCACAGGAGTTGGCACTGACATTCAAGCCTTGTGTGGATTCAGCACATATATTCACATGAGCTGCATGCCTTGCCTGTAGCACATTTGCTTGACAGCTGATAATCCATGAGATGCAATTTGACAACACTCAAAATATTTCAGCTTTGAAGATGTATTTTCAAAAATTTTTACAATGAGCATGCCTCATAAAGTCGATTTATAATATATTTCAGGGTAGTTAACGTTACCTTAACAAACAGGAGTCAGTCTTCTCAACTTATGCTCATCTCTATCAACAAAAGAAACTCTTGGTATAATTAAAGAGAACAAACCTTTAGGAAGGACAGGCAAAGGTAACAACCTTAAATTACACTAGTGCCATTATTTCCTAAAAACCACCTAYTAAATGTACTACAACAGGCACACACAAACCTGCTTAAAAAACAAATCCAACTCTGTGCACACAAACTTTAATTTTGCCTGACTCCACTACATCAAGATATGCATTGGTTCCATCTATGCCCCCAGCTGGCAGGCAGGAACAAGAAAAAGGGGACTGCAGGCTGTTTGCGTGTCTCTGTTCTCCAAGATACACAGCAAGAGGAAAAAAATCTGCATTAACATTTACCATGCCAAAACAGCTGCAGAAATCCAAAGTGGCCCCTACATATGCTTTTCCAAATGGCAGAGACAATTTCTGTTACTGTATTACTCAATAATTCAGTAGCTTGCAATACAAATATTCCCCACCCTTCTGTCTCTTTACACTATTAATTCCAAGTATTTAGTAAGCACTGTTAGAGGTCCCCACATAAGTGTCCTTAAACTACTGCATTCAATTAATTATTTTGCAAATATATAAAACTACTAATAGACACAATAAAAATTTTGATTACTTTTTTCCCTTTATMAAGAGATTATGACTCACACAGAATTCAGATAAAGGGACAGGACAGTTTTGCATGCAAGTAGAGAACTGGTTGACACATGCTTTCTACAACCAGTGCAGGGAAGTGTCACAGGAAGAGGCAGAGACTTTCAGAAGACAATCTCTTCTATAATCAGTCCCCTCAGGTGGCCCCAGCKAAACTGCAAACAAGGAAAAAAATCTAGAGCACCTGATGACAAATGGAAGTTGTATAACAGATGGGATCAAATTCATTCCTTACTTTCATACAACCGTGGTACTTCTTGACAGGGATATTTTAAAACAGATCCTGGGATCACTTCTTTCTACAGCCCCTGCTCTCAGACAGCTAATATGTGCAATAACAAATCTGACAGTCTAACTAGGATAAAATGCTATCTTCTCTCCTACTCAAAGCTTCTGTTTCAACAATAGATTATTCTCTGCATGCCAGGCAAGAAACAATCTAACTTCATGTAACAGCAGCATCTTATTCATGTGGTTTAGGATTTTGCAGTTAAGCTGGCCACACAGAACTGAAGAAACATTCTGCAAAACAACACACCTTACTAAACAAAGGTATTTGTCAGGGGCAACCTTTTAAGTTTGAATCCATGTTACAACCTTGACAACAGTGATCTCAGGTTATTTACTGTCCAACATCCATATCTGCCACAACCTACAACAGAAAATGCTCATTAACTCAAAGCTATATTTAAAGTCCAAAACAGAGAACAAAACAAAACAGTCCAAAGCGAAGAAAGACTCTGTGTCAATCAAGGGGAAGAGAATTTGAACAAAATTATGGAATAGATAAAGAAAAAAACTTCAAAAACCTTTATAACACAGTCTCTTGATTTCTTTGGGATCTAAAATGTCTCTGTGAAGAAACTTCTTGTATTTTATTACCAAGTGAGATATGACACCAGATTAAAAACTGACAAAACTAAATTAAGTTGCAGGCATCCTTATTCTCGAATTACACGGGAGAAAATTGTAATGCAATTAAAATTTGATTTTATCGGCTATGTAATGAATAGGTTGGAAACAACACTCTCCTCCAAAATCACCTTAACCACTGCTGGAATCACAGTCCCAGCATCACAGCGCTGCACACAAACCTGCAGGATACACCCTCACCATGACAAATTTGCAACGATGCCTGTATTCCGCTTAACGCGCTGCATGTTCAGCCACACTCGGAAAGCCTGCAGATGCCCCTTCAAGAGGTCTCCCCCTCCCGCCGCTCCCGTTATCCATTAACACTGTCACTCCATCCCGCGGCACTACCTGCATCCCGGGGGAGCCGCCCGCACTCGCACCGGGCGCAAGGCAGACCCTGTGCCCGCGACAGGGGGAAGGAACCGCCGGAGCCCGGGGAAGCCCAGGGCAGGGCGGCCGGTCCCTGGTGACCCGCGTGGTTCCCCCGGCCAGSGAGCAGCGGCCGCCGCTTCCCCCCGCGCCCCGGGGCCCCTCCTCGCCGTGCGGGGGGAAGCGGCGGCGGGACGGGAGAAGTTGCGAAGCGCCGGGGGAGCGGGGAGAGCAACAACTGGAGCCGGGCGAGGAACGGGGGCCCCGAGGGAACGGGGCGGGGGTCGCGCCGCCGGCGCCGAGGGAACGCGGGGGATGCAGCGGCGAGCGCCCCGCCCGGCTCCTCCCGCCCTCCGCGCCGCTGGCACTCACCGAGCCGCCCCGCGCACGGCGATGCGGGACCGGGATCCGGAGCGGGACCGGGCTCAGGATCGGGATCGGGAGCGGAGCCGCCGCCTCCCCCGCTCGGCCGGAGCAGCGACGGAGCGGCGCGCGCGCGGGTGGCGGGAGCGCGCCGGGAGCGCGCGCGAGGGGCGGGAACGCGCGCGGGGAGGGGGGGGCGGGGGGGGGGGGGGGAGCGGCCGCACAGCACCGCGGGCACCGGCCGTGCGGGCGGGCGTGCGCTGACCCGGATGTACCGGGGGGCGGCCAGCAGCAGGTGACTGCGCAAGCGCGCGCGGCCGCCAGCGCACTGCGCATGCACCTGCTTCGACTCCCAGTGTCTCGGGCAGGGGCGGGGGAGCGAAACAGAGGCGGGCGGGCGAAGCGGTGAGTGGGGCAAACCCCTTAAAGGAACCTGCGTCTTCCCTCAGCCCCCCACGAACAGGTCATTAATATCGCTCAAGCAACGTTATTGATCAGACTTTGAGCCAGTGGTGTGATTCTGGTGTTTTTTAAAAGGCCTGGGTCGGGGGTATGAAGTGTCTGCAGTTGGCAAAGCCAGGTTGGGAAGGGTGATGGGGTGCTCCCTCTCTGGGAAAAGCAGGGCAGTTGGCTGGAATGTCTTCCCAGGTGGTTCGTGTTGTAAGATCAAAGCAAAAATACATTGGGAAAAAAAGAAAAAAAAAAAAAAAAGTGAAAAGTTCCATCCCTCAGTGAGTGCTGCCAGAGCTACCACTGAGCTCAGGCTGAGCTGATCCTGGAATGCCTTCCACCTCCATCTCTGTGAAAATGCAAAAGATGTGCAGAATGTGTTTAAAAACAACGAAAAACCATATGGGGTTGTTTACTCTGGAGAAAAGGATCCTCAGGGGACATCTTACTGCTTTCTACAACTTCCTGAAAGGACTTTGTGGCCAGGTGGGGGTCAGTCTCTTCTCTTGGATAACAAGAGACAGGGCAAGAAAAAATGGCCTCAAGTTGGTCTAGGGAAGGTTTAGATTGGATATTAGGAAAAAAAAAATTCCTCATAGAAAGGGCATTTAAGCATTGGAACATGCCCACAAAAAGTGGTGGAGTTGCCATCACTGGAGATGTTTAAAAGATGTGTAGGTGTGGCACTTGGGGATGTGGTTTAGCGGTGACTTTGCTACAGGTTTATGGATGGGCTCATTGATCTTAAAGGTCTTTTCCAGCATAAATTATTCTAAATTATTCTGAACACAAAAAGACATTTTAAGAACATTCCATGGACCTAATTATGCGTTTTCTGTGCAGGGCCAAGATTTGGACTCAATGTTCCTTGTGAGTCCCTTCCAACTCAGCATATTCTGTGATTCTGTGATTTAAGAAGGTTTCACCTTCCATATCACACCCTGGATTTTGATATCCTCACAAGGGAAGGTCACAGTGTGTTCAGTGAGGCTGCACTGGGAGCAGTTTGGAGACCGAGCAGGATAGCCAGGCAGCAGCATACGGACACTGCCAGGAAAACTTTCATCCTCAAATAGTAAAACATTATCAATACCACTGTAATCAATCTGAAAGAGACAAACCAACCATCTCAAAGCCTAACCACTTCTACTAGTGTTTCTTGAGAAGCCTGATACCAGTTTGATATTAGTGAATCCCAGGTACCCCCAAACCCACTGAGAAAGCATAAAAATGGTAAATAGCTCAGAGATTTATTTATATGTTAATGTATTTATCTTTGTTTTAATAATTACTTACATATTGACTTAATCTGATAAATTTAGTTTGTCTTTAACTTATTAGGATTCAAGCTACATGGATTGACTATAATAACTTTAAAGTATTCTAGCTAAAAGAGTATCCTGGGATATGAAGGAAGCCATTTCTGAGTATAGTTCAGCTGCAGAACTTGTTTGCTGAACTCAAAGGAAATTACCACACTTGAGTTTTGGTCCTTGGGTAGCAGTCAGGCAAGACCAGGGCTGGTGCACCACRTACCTGCCCACTGCCTTCATCTAAGCAGGGAAAGGGGAGGGCTCAGGCAAGCTTCTGGAGGCTCTGAGAGGTTTGTACATACTGGAGCAAACGGAGATGTCCAAGAAGACAGGAAAAAAGATTTTCACAGAAGCACCTTGGGCAGAATGACAGAAGTCCCATTTCTGCTTGTGTGTGATTTGTATAAGTGGCTGAACGAATGCTTGACACAGCTTTTCACTTCTGCTACAGAAAGGATTTTTTGCAGTGGATACAAATTTTGAGGTGTGAATCAATGCACACTACTTCCTGAGATGAGGCAGGTCACTACCACATCCTTATCTTCTCTGAGGTCCACAGAGCTGTAGAAGTCTCTGTGCCAGACAGGAGATGATCCACTTCCCACTGAACTGAATTCAAGGGAAGCAGAATCATGCTCTGAGTTAATGGTGGACTTGTTACCATGTGGGCTTTATAGAAACCCAGRGGTCTCACCTGTTATACTACAGAAYRTTGTCCTGCTACACAAAACTAAAGAACTACACACAACTAGCCTCAGGGGTGATACATTTTTGTTGCTCCTAACATTATAAAGCACTCAGGGCTTGGCAGGGTAGGGTTAGACAAAGAAAATTTCCTACTGAAACCATGAGCAGGTTTATAATAATATATACTCCTTTGGGTTCTCCAAAACTGTAAGATACCTTTGATTTGTATCATCTCACATCTTTCAGAAATACAAGAATGCCCAGATGCTGAGCATCACTGATGCTTTAACAACAGCTTCACACTAAGACATCCATATCCCACATAATAATTGAAGCATAAAAAATTATTGAACACTGTGGAAAATGCTGCATGACTAAAAAACCCAGCAATTTWCTATTAGTTCTGCCTTCACTTTTAATTTATTAATTGCTTCTTCTGAATGCAAAATTATTTCACCAGGCTATCACTGCAATGAATATTAACCCCCCCCCCCCCCCCCMAAAAATAAAAAACAAACCCCCAAAAGAACAAGAACAAAACAAAATTAAAGATTATATTTGTCAGTTAGTATCATAAWATAAAAGAGTGGTAACAGAACATAGCTGCTCCTATGCTGCTAAATGCCTGAGGATTGTTGTGTTAGTAGGAGCATTGATGCCAAGTAGGTATATCTGACAGGAAAGAAAACAGGTCAGAGCATTTTCATCATGAAAAGATTAATAGGCTCCAAATGTACTATTGGATGTATATGTAGTGTATATATGTGTGTGTATACATGTGACAAAAGATGACTTTATTTTATATATGTAAGCCAGATGGATAAATAATGCCACAAGAGCAAACTTGCCCTTAGGTGCCACTGTTAGGATACTTGGGCTGCATTTCAGGCTAATGGTAGCCGAGGGGAGACTGTCCAAAGGGAAAAAGAAGTGACCATCACCCTGTGCCATRTGTACTCAGAAGGGATAATAGAGCACCTTGACCACTGACAGCAGCCTTGTTTGTTCTGGGAGGGAGGACAGCAATAGCTTTTCCATCACATGGATGAAAATAGAAAGCAAACATCCTATAGTCAGAGATTATTCTTTTAAAAGAATGGTTAAAGAAAATAAATTTCTTATGGAAAATGTCAAGAATGGAAGAAAGGCAGCTTTGCAGTGYTCCCTTGTTACACTGTTGTGGTTCACAGCATCTGTCAGTTCAGATAAAACTAATGTCAGGTTTTGCCCTCCCCTGMCCATATTTCCCCACATTCTCAAGTGCCACGGTAGTAGACGAGGGAATGCAGAAGCAGTCACATTCATACCACAGAGTCCTTTAGAGCTTTCATTTTGGATAGTACAAATCCTCTGATATAAATGTCRCTCTTCAGAATATAAACAGTTGTAACAAAATATGAACGATCTACATAAATTTCCAGAAGTGCAGACAAAACAAAAAGCCAAGGTCAAATCACTGGATGCTCATAAGGATCCCTGAAGTGCTTCCAGATACTGCCATGCCAAACAGTTGCAATGTTTTATACTTGCGTGGAGACAGGCACTTACAATCTCAGAATTCTTTTCTACCCCACCCAAAAAAAAAAAAAAAAAAAAAAGGTCATTTTGATATTTAGGTGGCAAGTGGCAAAACTGAGATGCTTCTGGAGTTCAGTCTTTTTACCCTGACAGATCTGGTGAAATCCTGTCATCTTCTCATGCTATGTCATTTCACGTGACTAATTACCTCAGTCATCTCCACTTCTGCTGTTACMAAGTCCAAGATTATTTTCGAGTTTGCTCATCTGGTGATGCAGTTGMTCCCTACAAATGATCAGCATGGCCTCTTCATGTGGGGAGCCTCAGCTAAAAAACATTGCACGCTTTCAATTAATGAACACTTCTTTAAGTCAAATGACACAGGAGGGTTCAGTGCCATGCCAGCTGAATTGTGATCAAGAACAATGGGGATTTTAAAACATAAAGCTTTAATTTTTCACATTTTGCTGCCTTGCCTCAAAAATAYAGCTCATCTCTATGAGATAGAGAAGCAAAAGGAGGAATAAAAAGAAAATGTCAGGTGTTAAGCCTKAATTAGAAGAAGATTATAGACCAGTAAGCACAGGGGAAGGTGGAAAGAGGAACTACAGCTATTTTAATCATGCTTTATCTCTACTGGAAAATAGAAAGATAAATTAGAGTAGTGGACCTGCCACAGAATAGAGGAGAGCACAGTATTAGACTCTGAGATCCTTAAGCTGCTTATGAAAGTTTGTGAAATACAAAATTTCTTCAGTGATCACTGCATGGACACCATTGCACTGTCAAGTACTTTAAGTAGTCGCAGTGGTGAACCGACACTGGTAACAAACAGGCAAGCGAAGGGGCCTGCTAAGTAATTGAGATAATCCAGCATTTCCATGTTTAGAAGGTCATGGCCATAGACTGAGCTTCTGAACTCAGTGGAAGAAAAGCCTCAGATGCTCCTATTGTGCCGCAGAGGTGTGCTCAGAGTGGTGGGAAAGCTGCAATCACCTTAGCAGGTGCTGGGCCATCACCTTTGCTCATTTGAGAGGCTCCTCTCTCCAGAAAAGCTCCTAATGGTCACTATATTTATTCACTCTGGGTAGCAATCAGTACCTTTAAGTAAGGGCTTTGCCAGGTTAGAGGAGGYTGCAAATTGGATGATGTAGAGTGGCAAAGTTTTACATGACCTCCCATTAGCCCCAGTCAAGCCACTTTATTAAATAAAGGAAACCACCAGGACCACAGGAGGAAATAAAACATGTATTTGAACTGGAACTT